CTGGTGTGGTTGTGCATGGGTGTGTGATTTATGATCTTGTAAAATGATCTTGTTCCAAAAGGTCCTGTGAAAACAGCCAAGTTGAGAAACAGTTCCAGTTCAAGCAGAATTTTCCCTCAAATTTTGTTCCATTCCCAGAACGGAATTAAAAATTAACGATTGGATAATTCCCATATCTCTCTGTCAGCTGTGCCAGTTGTTCAATTTACACAGGAAATAAAATAAATAATATTAACAGATTACTTCAATTATCAGTAGCTGCTATTCCTGCTCACATAGGTTTATGAGATATGAAATTATTAATTTATAATGATGAAACGGGTGCTTGCTCTTCTATTTAGGGAGCATTACTTTATGGTTCAGACTTTCATTTATGGACAGATATGATAACATTTGGTACCCAGGGTCTTGTTTGGATGTCATAGTTGTAATGATGGAGAAAATATCAGGATTTATAATCGTCATTTGACAACGATAGCTGGAGTCAGATTTTCACTGCCAGGATTGGGTCACGTTGAAGGTAGCTATTGAAAGAAATGGAGCTGATCCTACGTGTAATGATATGAGGCCTCCGTCCCGGGCTCTGCTGCTTTTCATAGAAAGGGAGCGGTGGCAAAGCAAGAAAATAATTTTGATTAGGCGCACAAAATAACTGCACAGAGGCCGGTATCCCATCACCAAGTCACGCTTTATTTACTTGTGCCTATTACATTGGCTGTGTGATCAGCCAGCTCGGAGTCAGTACCTGGGGTTGAGGAGATTCTAAATCCCCTGATTATATTGGTCAGCCAGGGCTTTCCTGATTAACAACCCCAATCAAGCATCTCATAGTCAACAAGATCCACTTGGTTCCAATCACTACAGCCCATTACAATAAACAAGCATCACCTAGAGAATTTGCCTTCCCCTCTAAGGTTTGGAAATATTTGCAGGTTTAGCAGTTTTTGGGACCTGTGTAAAGCTTCACATCGCTGGATTGTTTGCAATAGGATTAATCGCATGGAAAGAGTTTTGTTTGATTGAGAAAAATGGAAGATTTTATTCCATAACAATGACATTTGAATAATACTAATATTTCCCTCCTTTTTCCCCCTCATCTCTGACTCTCTGAGAGCGCTGGCTGATTAGTTAGATGTTTTCATCTTTTTTAAACCCTGCACATGTCACAGTCATTTGTGGCCCAATTGCTCCAGTGGCCTGCCCAATTCTGACTAAACAACTCCCTCTACCCAAACTAATTTCTGGATATATTTTTGCTTATGGTAAAATCTCCCTCAATCTCAATCTAATCAACAATTTGTGCTAGGGACTGGTGACACTGAGCTAAGGACAAATACTTCTGTGCATTAAATTGAAAGTATATCCTTTTCCAATTCATTGTGGAGTTTTACTTGGAACTGGTGACTTGGTATTACCTTTAGTCCCTTGTAACAAGCTTTGCCTGGCCAATTCCCCAGGCCAGCAGTAGGGGCATGGTGATCTGGATTTTCCTGGGAGTGAGTGATAACTGTGGTTGGTCAGTGTAAATGTTCACCCATAATGCACTTGAAAAGATTGTTCATAAAGGAGCTCCTGACTGGTGGAAACGATGTGTAAACCCGCTTCATCACTTTGTAGAGTAACTCATTTTAATGATTGGGATAATGCTTGAGGAGCAGAAACCAGCTAAGAAGAGTACCATGAAAGCCAGGAGAAAAGTTGAAACATTGGGCAATTAGGTGGAGGAAATTGAGGAAGGGGGTGGGTTATGATATCTATATCTAGAAAATGGAGGCAGAGGATATGTAATCTTTAATGTAGACTTTTCATTTCTTCTATGGTTGCAACAGCATTCCTGGTTTCAATTCACTTGATTTCAAATAGAGTCTTATATGTTGCCTCCCAGATTTATGATATTCCAGCTCCAACAGCTCAGAAGTGGAGGTTTAGAATTACACAAAGCAGCTTCTCAGCTGAGAGCCACACCTCTATCTAAGGCAGGGTTGCCTGGGTTATTTATAAAAGTAATAATGGACTGCTGTGAGTGGTCAAAACCCTTTTTCTTTAATGATATTAGGTTTAAGAAAGATATGTTGCAGAGAATCGAAAAAATGTTAAAAATCTCTTGAGGCAAAATAGCCTAAAACGTTTGGGTACGTACTTGAATCTTTGGAATTCTTTGCTTCAGGGAGTTGTAGATGCTTGGTTCATTGAGTATTTCCAAGCTTGAAACTGATAGATTTTTTTGGACCTTAAGGGGATTTAGGAGATGGGGATTGGGTGTGTAGTGACTGTAATGAGGTCAACCAGCTGGACATCATAGAATATGAGATCCCTGATTAGGGTTGTTAATCTGGTCCAATCAGGTAGCCATAGCTGATAGATAAAAAAAGAGGTACATCAGACATTCTGACACTCTGGGTGTTGACTCTGATGAGGCTGTGCCAGAGTCAAAGGCTTTCCAAGTGTAAATAACTTGGATATCGGCTTCTGTAGAGTTATTTCAGTGGCAATGAAAGTTGGATTAAAGATCTAGCCATGCAAAAACACCTACTGGTTGAAGTCCAACTGGACTTCAAATAGCCTACAACTGGCTTTATCATTGGAAAATGCAGGAAGTGGAGCAATGAGTTGCAGGGTGTTCCGATGGAAATGGACTGAGCTTGAAGAACACCACTTGAGTGAAGGCAATTGCATAACTGCACTCAGGACATATCATGAATAGAGGGACGTTTTGTAAGCCCACAGCAAAACCCCAAAATAAAGCCAGGTCTCAGTCAAATGGTTAAAGTTTTCTTCAGGATCTGGGCCAGCAAGCCACGTAGTTGCTGCCAGGATGTGGATTCGAGATAGCAAAAGAGTCCTACCATTCCTAAATTGAGTAAAAGAACTCATATGCCGGTATCCAGGAGTGCACATACCCTCGAAAGTCCACTTACATCTGGTTTGGAACAGTTCAATTGCTTAGCAACATCCAAATCAGAACCAATCAAAATAAATGTCTGATTAAATGGCCATCTAGTTCTAATGAAGTCCGATACCAGCACAGCCACACCAGTGATGGCAGAACCAGTTTTTAACAAAATTCGCTTTGGACACCAACCCTTAAGTTTGCCTGAGACCTTGGTTAGGCTGAGAACCAATACCAGGGATCCTTTACAGATTAGGGGTACAACTTCAGTTCCAGTCTCTTATGAAAAGTAGCTGGTTCAGTTATCACTGATTGTAGTAAAAGGCTCAGGCCCAAGCTTGATTGGGGTGAAATTGGTTGAGAGAGATTATCCTAGATTGGCTCAATGTTGCTCAGTTAGAAAATGGCTGCCTGAGTAAAGTCCTAATGGAATACACAGAAGTCTTCCAGGAAGGTCTAGGTTTGCTTAAAGAGGGCAAGACAGTGATGCCCATAGCCATTCAGCGGTGGGCTCTGATATTAATTGTTTATAACTAAAGTTTGAACACCATCCGGGAGGCCAAGTAGTGAATGTGGATGCATTGAGCAGGCTCTGACTGGCAGGTACACCACCAATATTACCATCACTAGAAGGTTCTGTAATGGTTTTAAATTTTCTGGACCCACTTCTAGTCACAGCTGACAATATCAGGCTTTGAACATAGAAAGATCCGCTCCTGGCAAAACGGAAACAGCTGATGGAGGAAACCAAAGGGCCGTCACAACCAGAACAAAATCCTTTTGGACCCAGAGAGACCAAGTCACAGTACAGGAAGGCATATTATAATGGGGAGTAAGAGTGATTGTCCTGAACAAATGTCAACCCTAGACACTGGCTGAACTCCACCAAGGGTGTCCAAAATGAAGATGCTGGTGAGATGATATGGTCGCTGGTCAAGCTTGGATGCAGACATAGCTGTGTTCATGGAGCAGTGCCAAAAAGGACAAAAATTACTGCCTGCAGCTCTCCCGCATTCATGGGAATAGCTACGGAAAACTTGGACTTGGTTACATATCAACCATCCAGGTCCTTTCATGGGCTCAATTTTCTTAGACATTGCGGATACCCACTCTAAGTCACTGGATGTGCATAGAGTCCATTCGTCAAATACAGGGACCACAACAGGAAAGCTGCGCGCAGCTTTTTCGATACACAGACTCCCGGGAAGTGTTGGTCACAGATAACGGGCCATCATTTATCAGCAGGGAGTCTGAGTATTTCCTAAAGTTGAATGGGAATCGACATATAAGGACAGCTCTATACCATCCATCATCCAATGGTCTGGCAGAAAGAGCAGTCCAAATGTAGAAGGCAGGCTTGAAGAAACAGCCTGCAGCCTTGCTAAATACCAAGCTGTCCTAGTTCTTATTTGATTATATGACCACCCCACATGCAATGACAAGGTTAGCTCCAGCAGAGTTGCTAATGGGGAGAAGACTGTGTACCAGGCTAAATGTGGAGGGTGCCGAGTGAAATGGCATCAGGAGAATCAATGTCGGTCACAAGACTCCAATAAGCAAGAGAGACAGTTTACTTAAGTGGCAAAGTTTGGTGTAGAAACCACAGAAATAACCCTGCATGGGTGATGCACGGTCAACGTGAGGTCAGGTCCAGTGACGTATAAATTTCGGGTGGGTGCCGTGGTCCTGAACAAGCACGCATTTGAAAGCTGCAAACTCACAAATGAGATTGTGACACTTTGGGTGCTGACGCTGATGAATTGTGCCAGAGTTAAAGACTTCCCATGTGTAAATAAAGGGTGACTTGGTGACAGGATACCAGTCTCTGTGGAGTTACTTCAGGGTATAAAATTGAAATTGTGGTAGAAGGTTAGCCATCACCTAATTGGATGGCAGATCAAGATTAAAGAGCTGTGGAGCCCTAATTCTGTTCTCATTTCTTTCATGTGGCATCATGAATTAAGGAAAGGAACTTGCTAGAAATAAGTCAGCTTAGGTCCATACTAATCAGATCAGTATTTGATATGAATGTCAATCTTGTATTGACTCAAATTGAAGGCTGTGCAATCGAGAAGTCAGCCAAGCAGAGGGGAAAGTAACATTTACATCTACTCACTTGTTGTCAGTCTTTGCTTAATTGGTGGGCCACGAGTATTATTTTTCACAACATGAAGGCTGACCTCGTAATCGTGTCCTGGAGCCAGACCAGTCTGTACAAATGATACCTGCGGCTGTTTCAGGCTGTTGGAAATTTCTCCATTTTCTTCTTTCTGCAAATAGAAGGATATTTCAGGCTTGTACAGAGAAACACAGAGGTGATCTGTGACACATCGCTTTGGTTCATTATTTCAGATATTGCCCCAGGCTTGCGGATATATCAAAGGCTTTTTTCTGATGCCATCCATCGCAATAAAGTATTCCAAGTGTATTTGGATAGATGAGTGGGCAACAAGAATATTTATGTACAGTTTGTGGCTGATTTATCATACTTACTTTAAAGATAAGTTAGTGTTGAGAAAAGAATTTGTCAACTGGTCTGCATTAAAATATAGGCAGCATGAAGAATGTTGAATTGTAATTTGTATCACTACCAATTACTGAAATAAAAACACAATACCATGCTTTCTAGAGATCTGAAATAAAAATAGAAAATGTTGAAAAACCTCAGCAGCATCTGTGGAGAGAGAAACAAAATTCATATTTTGCATTTGATATGATTCTTCTTTGGAACAGTTTTGCTCGGTTCACTGAGATTTTACAAGATGTTCTGAAAAAGGGTCACGGGGCTTGAAATATTATTTTGATTTTCTCTTTAAAGATGCTGCCAAACCTGTTGAGTTTCTCCAGATCTGTCTGTTTTTGTTTTACGACATATTCTGCTTTTAGTTTATTACCACCAACCATTGTTTGATATGGAGAAGTTAGAAATCTTCATGTCCAAAGGAGACAAATTTAGAGTCCAATTTGCAATGCCACTTTCATAAAAACAATTCATAAAGCAAGATGTAATCAGAATTTAAGCCAGTTGCATCTGAATGTAGCCACAAGCATGATCCTGAATTTCTTGTTGCTCACCACTTTAATTATTTGTTCCATTTTCACAATGTTGTTCAAGTCCTCTGCAATCTGTTTGGGTGAAATGCGATGCAATATCAAGATACTGCACCTTTTAATTAGATGGTTTACACCTTCCAGTCTCAACATGGAGCACACCACCATCAGATGGTTAGCACTGTTCCCATTTTCTCAAACAGTAGCTGGTAGTAAGAGGTCTGTTGTAACCATTGACCTATTCTCTGAATCCAGGTTCTCTTACCTGGCATCAAGCTTTTTTTTTATTTATTCATGGAATGAGAGCATCATTGTTTAGGCCAACATTTATTGCCCATCCTTTTTTTTGCCTAGAGGGCAGTTAAGAGTCAACCATACTTCTGTTGGCATGTAGGCCAGACCAGGTAAGGTGGGAAATTGACTTTCCTAAAGAACATTAGTGAACCAAATGGGACTTTAAAGACATTTGACAGTGGTTATACGGTCACCGTTAAACATAGATATTAAATCCAGAGGTTTATGGAGCTTTGCTATGGAGTTTAAAATAATGACCATATAGAACAAAGAAGACCCTCAGTCTCTCAGTCTTGGCCCAGTTTAGCCCAATAACGGCTCAGTTTTCTCCGGCTCATTACTTTAAGTTTAAAATCCAAATATCAAAATAAAACATGCTGTTAAAAAAAAGTAAACCAACTGACGTGCATGTTGAATTAAACTTTATTTCTTTTTGTGTACCATTTTTAATTGAAGGAAGTAATGTGAAATATGTAATGGAATAAAATTATCTAAACAAGTTAAATTTAACCCAAGTTATCCTAAAAACTCTTTTCAGAAACAAAAGCAGAAATTGCTGGAAAATCTCAGTTGGCCTGGCAGCATCTGTGGAGAGAAATCTTCCCAGACATTATTGGAACACTTCTGCATCATTTTAGCATTTTAGATTTATTTCTATTTCTGGATTTCAGATATTTGTGCTTTTTTATGATTCATCTTCCCAAGTTACAGATTCATAGAAAATTACACAGAAGGAGGCCATGAAGTTCATCAATTCTAAGCTAGTTTTTTTTTCCAAAGACCAATGCACTCAGTATCTTAGCTGCACTTTTCAATCTCACGCTCATCTTGATATCCCTGCAATTAAGTACTTATCCAGTTCCTTTTTGAAGACTGATATTGATTTTTTTTAAACACCCAATCAGACTGCACAGTTTAAATGTTAATCAATTGGTTCTTCAACACCTGCTTCCTCATAATAGTTCTCATTCTTCAATCACCTTATATCTGTGTCCTCTAGTTAACCCCACAGCTATTGAAGGCAGTTTCTCTTTATTTAGTCAATCCAAATATTTGACAAATCTCATTCTTTTCTGGAGTCATCATGTTAACCCATGACTTGTCAAATTTGATGAAAGAACATTTCTTGTAACATACATCTGTTACAACATGTAACAGTCAAAAATGTAGGTGTTAGTCATGCATTTTTTAGGAACAGATGTAACAATATTTTACAGCTGTCTGCACTTCAAATGAATAAATAAATATGACAGTGATATGACAGTATTGTAATGAAAGATATTTCAGCACCTTGATGATACGATGGTATTTATATCTGAATGAAAGCAATCAAGCTGAAGGATGAGGATGACCCTTTGCATGCAACTCTTATACCTATCATGTTATTCCAGTCATCTCGTTTGTCTCCAGCACCACCTTATTTTTAATTCTTTTTGATTATCTCTCTGCCTCATTTAATCGGATTATAGGTCATCCCTTTGCTGGTTATTCAGCTGTTGACGCTTTACTCACACCATCTAATGCTTTGGATCACCTGCAGGGACTTATTATTCGACACTCCACTTATACCATTCGTATGATCATTTGATCCTCTGCCCTTGATCTCTCTGCTTATAAATTCTGTGTTCTGTGTGCTTCTCTCTCACTTCACTTGACGAAGGAGCAGCGTTCCGAAAGCTTGTGATTTCAAATAAACCTGTTGGGCTATAACCTGGTGTGGTATGACTTCTGACTTTGTCCACCCCAGTCCAACCCCAACACCTCCACATCATGGTTGGTTATGGTGCCATCTTAGGTACAGGATACCTAGGTCCAGATACTTAAGTATTTGTTACAGACTTGAAGGAATAATAAATAAAAGTCCAGCATAAGAACAAAAAGTTTTTAAAAAGCACTTGAATCACAGTCCTTTTCACTGAGTTCGTGCCAGTACTGAGCCTCCAGACCATGCTGGGCTTCAAAACTCGAGGTCTTGTTTCCAGTCTGCGAGGGCCTCACCTCCCCCACAGTGGCCTTCAGTCTGGGACTTGCCTCACTGCAATGGCCTCTGGTCCAGGACTCGCCCCCCAGGACCTGCCTCCAGCACTGGCCTGGTCTGGGACTCACCAGTGATGGCCTCTGGCCTGGGAGTCGCCTCCTCCATTCCCTCCAGGTAAGGTTAAGAAGTTAAAAGTTTGAAACCAATATACTATAGAAAAGAGAAAAAAAGAGAGGAGAAAAAAAACAAGAAAAAGAACGGGCGGAGCAGAGGAGCTCAGGCTGGAGCATCCTACTGTGCCGCCAATTTGCACAAATTAGTTGAGATAGCAAGTATTAGTCAACTTGAAAGGATCAGCAAAATGCAATGGGAAAAGTAGAAAAGAAAAACTTCCATTGTTCGGGTAATTACTCCAAGCACCAAATGGCGACTGGTGTGCGTGCAGACAGGGCTGGTGATATCAACTGGCTGTGGCAGCTCACGGGTTCTCCCATGATCCTTTGCAGATGTCACCACATTCTATGCACAGTGACGTCAGCACCAGAGTACGTTCTGTCTGCCCCATGGTAAATAGTCTGTAGAAGTGATGACCAATCCCCCATTCTACCTTAGTTACTGCTTGCACTCCCTAGCCTTGATTAGCCAAGATCCTTCAGAATCATGTATAATTGGAAACTGTGTGAATAATCACAGTTATACTGGCAGATGCTGCTGCTGCTCCACTGTTTGCAATGATGCCATTTAAGGTATCTAAAGTAAACCATTTATGATTGAGGTGAGGTGAAATTACTTCACCCAGAGAGTGGTGTGCCTTTGGAATTCTGAATCATAGAAAGCTGTTGAGGCCAAAACATTGAATGTTTTCAAGAAGGAGATAGATGCAGATCTGAGGGCTAAAAGAATATAGGGCAAAAGCCAGTAACAGGCACTGAGCTGAACATTGAGCCGTGATCCTATTGCATGGTGGAGCAGCTGTGAAGGGCTGAATGGCCTGTTCCTATTTTCTATGATTTGATGTTTGCAACACTGTACTCCTGTGCATGCGTGCATTGCTTCGCCTCATTGGTGGCATTCTCAATAAATGCAACCTGCATTTATTTGCCCTTTCTCCCAAGTACCAGATGTCTGAGAGTACATTATAGCCAGTGAAATAATTTTTGAAGTGTAGTCACCATTATAATGTAGGAAACATGGCAGCCAATTTGCATACAGCAAACTCCCTTGAACAACAATGTGATAGTGGCAGACAAGCTGTCTTCATGATGTTGATTTTGGGATAAATATTGGTCAGGACATTGGGAACGTCTCCCCTTCTCCTTTCTGCAACAGTGCCAAGGGATCTATTGCATCCATTCAAGTAGGCAGATAGTTTCTCTGACAGTGCAATGGTCCCTCAGTACTGCATTGGAATATCAGGATCGTTTATTATACTCAAATTCTGGAATAGGACTCAAGCCCAGAACCTTGTAACTCAGAACTGAAATTGCTACCAACTGAGCCACAGCTGATATGGAAGGGAAATAAGAAATTTCTTACACCTCATTAAAATTAATTTTAAAAATGGCATTTTCTACCAGCTGTTTAAGTTGTAGCTGTAGCCTTCCTTGGGACTGTTTGTGGCTAATGCTGCACTGAAAAAGTCCCAGGACATTACTGCAGAGGTTTCTAAGATAGACATTTCATCATCAAAAGGCCTGATATAAGAATGATCAGTGAAGATTGCATAAATTTTAAGTTCATTTATGACAGCTGACATACTTAAATAGCCTCTTTCTATATACAGCAAGATCTAGACAACATTGAGCTTGGCAATGGCAAGTGACATTCATACCACACAAATGCCAGGCAGTAGCCATCTCCACAGTGAGTGAGTATAATTGAATTCCCTTGACATTCAATGGCATTATCACTGTTGAATCCCCCAATTGCTGACATCCTAGGAAGTTATTATTAATCAGAAAAAAGAACTGAACCAGTAATAAAAAAATTTGGGAAATGGAATTACCTAACAAAGGTACACACTTTCTTAATTTTCATTTCATACCAAAGAACAAACATTTGATCCACAAATACAGTGGATCACAAAAAATGATCCAAGATCTTTTCTGACATGAAACAAAATACACAAGATTAGAAAATTTAGGCATACAATTATCAACTAATTGAAAACAATGACAGCAGGATTGATCAATTAATTTGGCCCACTTTATAAGAAATCAATAATATACTTGCTACATCCTCTAATTTTGTGACTATATCATTATATCATTTGACTTACCGGAGCTTTGAAAATGATCTCCCAACCATCAAACACGATATCCAAAGGTTCCCACTCCACATTTACAGAGGTCTCACGAATGGACTTGAATCTTAGACCATCTGGTGTGGGTAGATCTGCAGGGAGGCAGGAAGTAAGTTTAGAAAGCTGGAGCTTTATGTCAAACAGATAATTTAGTTCAGAACAATTATAGGTTATGAGCAGGAACAGCTTCAAGCAACAGTCTTTAAGTTTAATGTGGTTTAAGTAGGCACTCAAATTGCAACATGGCCTGTTTTGACATTGGTGAAATGGCTCCCGGCGACAAAATTGATGAAGCCTACCAATTTAGAACAAACTACTTATCCAATAATAATCAATTTTTTCATGAAATATTGTGGCTGTTGACTTGCTTGCCGAGCTGGTTTGTTTATGTTCAGACGTTTTGTCACCAGGTAACATCATCAGTGAGGCTTCCATGGAAGTGATGTTGTTCTACTCCGCTTGGAATTTATACTGTCTGGTCCGTTATGGTGAGCTGTGTCATTTCCGGTTTTGATCTGTATGGGACCTCATATAGAAACCCACACAGAACAGAACCAGAAATGACACAACTCACCATAACGGATCAGAGTGTATAAATTCCAACGGAGTAGAACAACAATGCTTCATTGGAGGTCTCACTTATGATGTTACCTAGCATGGTGATGAAACTATTGAACGAAAACAAGCCAGCTTGGTGAGCAAGTCAACAATCTCATCCACAACCTGAGCTACGAATCTTTGCAAAAACCTGATTGAAATATTGCAGGACTATAGATTGAATGCATTTTAAAAACTAAGACTAACATCTTGATTTTTATTCTCTTTCATATAAATTGCTAACATCAACAGTATTCAGAAGTTTGTCTGAAAGGCAAGGCACAAATTAAACTGTAGCCCTAAAATACTGAACTGGGAATGGCTTTACTCAAACTGGATATAAAAATCAACCTTTACTTGAAATATTTGCTGCTAGTTGCCAATGCTTTGCATTGACTTTGACATAAATTTAGTCAATAGTTTCAGCTTGAATTGTTTCCATATTACATGTTTGATTCATTTATTCTTGATGAGATCATATTGAAGTTAATTCACAGGCTATATCCATCAATGCAATGAGATCTATGTTATGATGCATCAAAGCAGCTATTGATAGCAATGATAAAACACAGACCAAAGGTTATGGAAAGAACTTAAGAGTACTTGAAGTGAAAAGCTGAGGCCATTTTCATTTTTTTTTCAAGGTCAGTGTGCTATTTTTTGTGAAATCATTCAACAAATTTCATTTTACGAATGACCAAGATTTCATTCTTTTGAACCTATGCTTTCAGACATCAACAAACAGTATTCATTACTAATGTCCCTAGTTAAGCTAACACTTTTTGCTTGCGATTGATGGAATAATAAAGAAATGGAACTAATTAGAAAATATGTAACTTTTATGGTTTCTGCATTTCTGTTCAGAACTCCATTTATCTGAATGGATAACCTACAGTGGAAATAAATACTTTTACAGTCACCTTAGTGAGTTTTCTTTGGGGCTATTACCACTGTATTTGGAATTTCAGGTCAGGTTTATTCACACACAATGGGATGAAACACACAACTAATTGGGCAATATGTTTTAAAGCATACAAGATGAAATACATCGACTGAAAAGTTCAACATAAATGTTCTGTTGATGCCAATTTCGAATCTTTACAAGGTTTGAACAGCCAGTGAAAGTAATGGCAACAAAATTGTCTTGCTGACGTGAATACTTTTTGTTAACCCAAGTGAGTACTCAGAATAGCCTTTTAATGACCAATTCTTCATATCATTTTAAAAATGATCTTTTACTTTAGAATTAATCGCTTACTTTTACAGAGAAACTAGCTGGAAAAAAAGGGTTGGCTATTTCTCAAATTCTGCACAAACATCATTGTGAATGAAGCTACAGTGTTGATATTCTGTGTCTGCTATCACTGTCTCAGATGCTAAAATAGAGTGAGGAATTTGACAAACACACAGATATCTACATTATCAATAGTAAATTTCCAGCTATTTTTCCCAGCTACTGGGATGAGGCTTTTTGTTGCTGTTGATAATAAACAACTTACATTCTATCAGTCTATAACTTCACGTCAAATCTCTAAACAAAAGCATCCAAAAACATGATTTTAAAGATGGATAGCAAAGTATGGGTCAATTTAAATTTATTTATAAAAATAAATATATTATTGCTTTAAATATGCATATTTTCAGCATCTTTGCCATATTATGTTTAGAGCTCAGATGCTTAAGGTACTTTTTTAATTGAAAAAAAAAGCACTATTTGCCAACTATATCATTTTGTCAATCACACTAATTGCTTCTTATTTTGGCCTGGGACGTCAATTTGCTTTCTCCCAATTAACAATTCGCATTGTTCTCAATGTTCTTTGCATCAATGTGATGAACAAATCACAGACGGGTAAGTTTGCCGTTCACAGGCTCAAATATGCAAATGGACATTCTTACAGAGACTGGCAGTACTCACGTGTTGCTACCCTGGCACTGACAGGAATGCTTTTCTGGTTGTTAAGGATAGCATAAACGTTGATTAAATATTCAAGTCCTGGCTCTAGTCCTTGAATGGTGGATGTCATTTGGTCACCAGGTACTCTTATTTCCAACTGTAGACCACCAGGGGTAGTTGGAGCATAGGTGATAAGATATTCATTTACTCGGACTTCATTATACCACTCCACATCCATGGTTTTAGGGTCCACTTCAGTCACCTTTAGATTTTTGGGGGGAGAAACTGTAGGAAGATACAAGTCCTGTGATAACGTTTTGAACTCAAAGAATACTAAGGTAACGATAATCTGACACTGGTTACAATTCTGAACTTGATCAAAATTTTGAAACAGAGACATTTGGGCAAAGTTTCTGCTTAAAACTAGAAATTAAGCCTAATGATAATGAGGCAAGTGGACACATAAAGGAAGAGGTAACCATAAAAGAAAGAGCCAACCAAATTATATGGAACATTTATTTTAAAAAAATACCGCAGTGTATTGTAACCCTCTATGCATTGTATATTACTTTTCTGTATGTTTGTTTTAGTAAATATGATGGAGTTTAAATAAGAGTGGTGAGATCTACAATGTAAGTACTGTGGTGGTATCAGACTTTTAATGTATTAAAATGTCCCAAGGCACTTCATAGAGGCATTATGAAACAAAATATGGTATAAAGTCACATAAGGAAATATTAGGGAAAATGTTAATTCTGGTTTTAGGAAATATTGAAATGGAAGAAAGCAAGCTAGGGAGGAAGAGAGGTATGGTAAGGAATTTTACAGTTTGGTTTCAGGCAGCTGAAGGCAGGGCCCCCAGTGGTAAAATCTTGAATGCTCAGAAATTGAACTGGAACAGTCTTGCAGACTCCAACAACATTCAAGAATGGATGTGTGAGTCTTTGGGAAATCATTACTATTGCAGTTAACTATGAGATGCAAAGTGGACAGTAGTATTAACTATTGCTTTCTTTCCAATTATTTTTGTCAGGTCAGTTATTTCCATTTGGGAAGGATATAATCATATTCTGTGATTTAATATATTATACTTCTGCATTTGGAGATGGTTTGAATACTTTAGGTAGAGATTGGATCCACAGATGACAATTAATTAAGTTAATGTGTCACAGCTTTTTGTAAACAAGTGGTCGGTGATACATATACAATATAATCTGAGCATCATCACAAGGTTTGCACATGATTTCCCATGTTATAGCAAATTTATTGGTTATTTTCAGGGGATTTTGATAGACACTTCCCACAATTGCTTTTTTGATCATTAAGTTCACATAAGTACATGGGTAGGAAGAATTTGAAGGGATATGAACTAGGAGCAGGCAGGTGGGACTAGTTTAGTTTGGGATCATGTTCAGTATGGATTGTTTGGACCAAAGGGTCTGTTTCAGTGCTGTATGACACTATGACTCTAAGCATCTCTGAGCAGGTTTGGCTGAATAGTATATTCAAATGTAACAGCGATTGCCATATGCTGATCAAATTTTAATTTCAAATGAAGAAAATTTGGATCCAATATTTCTTTTAAAATCAGTTGAAATAATTTAATGATATGTTGCTTGCAAACAGGCCTCTCCATTAAAATTAAATTAGCTTCTGTTTTCTGTGGAATATCCTGCTCATGCGTACTGAGCACTCTCATTTAACTTTGTATAGATTATCAGTATTCTTATAAAATAACAGAGTCATAACTTAGAAAGTGGCTGTTCAGCCCATAACAGGTTCTTGGAAAGTGCCATCCAATTAGTCTCACACCCCTGCTCCTCCCATAGCAAATTGCTCTCTGAGACAACCTGTCCCATTTTGACTGCCTCGGTTAAATTAGCTTCCGGCACCTTTTCAGGCTGTGGGTCTGTAGTCACATGTAGGCCAGGCCAGGTAAGGATGTCAGTTTCCTTCCCTGAAGGACATTAGTGAAGCAGATGGGTTTTTCCAACAATTGACAATGGTTTTTCATGGTCACCATTAGACTCGTAATTCCAGATTTTGTTTTATTGAATTCAAATTCCACCCTCTGCCATCGTCCCCAGAAAATGACCAAGGTCTCTGGACTAATAGTCTAGAAATAATACACTAGGCCATTGTTGCCCCTTCAAATTGCTCCAAACATAGACCATAAAACTTCACTTTCTCAAGGTAGGCTTATTTTCCAGCTCTGACTAGCAGGAGAACCATGCATAACTTTGAGGAAACTCATTAGAATAAGCTATAGTTGGAAGATTTCATCTCGGGCAAGAATGTGGGGGAAAAAAACTGACGGTTTGAGACATCCCCTCCTCTAAACATACTTACTCAACTGACAGAGAGAGGCAACCATGGGCAAGAAGGGCTGAAGTTACAAAAGGAAGAAAATGTATGAAAGGAAACAAATAAGTTTGACTGAAAAGAATGACAAATCAATATGTCATGTTGGAGGAATGAAAATAAAACAGATAATTATCCCATTTATTTACTTTAAATCATGTATCTCTGGACATACCAGACAAGAAGACTGCAGAGAATAAACAGTGCTACTATTTTGTCCGCGGTTGACTATCACAACAAATTAACTGGAGATAGCATAAGACGATTGAGCTCATGTTTCGGTCCATCGTGTATAACTTGTATTTATGAACTGCAGAGGTTTGGCATGGTCTATCAAGCATATGGGAAAATCTTTTGGATTCTCATGGATTATTTTTTGCTCCAATTTGAAAACCAGACAGTGAGCAATTCAATTGCATACCTAAGTAATTTTTAACCTTAGGATCATTTGTTTAAATATACATCACTAATTTTGGCACAGTCCTATAACATAGCTAAAAATGCAAGCAATATCTAAAAGCTGTGGGAAACGGTGGTGTAATGCTGATATCACTGGACTCAAGAGGCCCACCAGACAGCTGATGGAATTTAAATTCAATGACTAAAACCTGAACTTAAACTACTCTTAGCAATAGTAACATTCCTCAAGATGGTGACGGTGGAGAAGGCAGTGTTTGGGCTTGTCAATCCGTCTGCTTTTCTCCTCTTCCTCTATTCATATTCTGTCTCTTTTTTTCTAAGATTTTAAAGTTTTTTTTTGACAAGAAAGCTTACCTTGGAGCAGGTGGGGACCGGAGTGAAGTGGGCTGGAGGCCTGGTGCGTTGTGGAGCGTCTGGGGACCAGGGCAGAGCTGGCTGGAGGGCTGGAGTGGTGCGGAGAGGCTAGGGACTGGGGCAGAGCAGGCTGGAGGGCTGGAGCGGTGCGGAGAGGCTGGGGACCAGGGCAGAGCAGGCTGGAGGGCTGG